GCACTTAACTCATTCTCTCTCTTTCTCGTGTTCGTACACATGCGCACACTTACGCTCAGCTCTAAAACCAAGCGAGCTGACCTAGGCTGCATTTTAGACATAGGCAGGTATCTTAATTATATGCTGCCTCTTAAGATGCCTTGTTTCAGACAAATTCTAAAGCACCATAGCATATTTCCTATATTTACTTATCCTACTGTTGGCTTAGCAACATGATATTGTCAAACTCTATTGGAATCAAATGATTTGAGTCAAATATCCCACATGGAGCACTATTTGTGTGCCAAACAGACATGCTGCCTATTCAAACAGTGTTTGGATTTAGTTTTTTTTGTGAATTTTGTGTTTCAAATTGGTCATTTAGGAGGCTCCATGATTAGGATGCAAAGAGTCAATCAGCTCATTAGGTTTTAAAACAGAGCTTTAAATTACTTCCACCATGCCAGTAGTTCATAAGTAAAATGCTACCCAAGACATACTTTGATTTCCTCTAAAAATGCAATTCCTTTGAATTCCTTAAATGCAAGTGTGATTTTTCTCAACAATAATGCCTTAATAAAGCCTCAAAAACAGAGAAAAATCAACTGTTTGCAGTGGTAATGGAATCACGACTCTAATGGAAAGAGAGGAAAGAACTCATTACGTATTCACAGCAAATAAGTCTGTCTGGCTATCATTACGACTGTGAGACAGCAGAGGTGTGAGGAATGTGTAGCCAGACCATTACACTCCGATCCAGGCAAAAGAGCGTTAGCATGTGAATGATTATCATGATATGGAAAAAGACTTTGTGACACTGGGTTACAATTTAAGAGAATAAAAAAATGCTACTAGAAGTTAAGGTTGGATGACTATTTTTCTCACCACTTTTGAATTGGCTGAAGAAAAATAGCCATGCCGTTATAAACGAACCCAGCTTAGGTAATACATCTATCAAAATTATTTCACAAGAGTCAGGTGAATTTTAAAGCTGGAAATTAGCATTATTGAGGGATGCATATGCATGATATATCAGCACCATATTGGATATTAAGATTTTCTCATGTATCTATATTTGTCGTTACTGGCTGATGTTGAATATTTAATTGTAAATGTTCATTTATAGTATATTTTTACATACGGATTACCTTGTTGTTATCTAAAACACATGTACATTTTTCAACTATGCAATGTTGTGATGCCTAAATTCACAATCAATCAATTTGAGTTTTTCACCTTTAATTTGTTTAGACACCAAAGTACTATTATAGTACATTTTACTTAATATTATTTCAGTGTTTCTACCTCAAAATGTAATGTTTAATACACTGTTACATTATTTCTTTGTAATTCTAATGCTAAAAATTTGTCTGTACACCATTTTTTCAGTGCATAAATGTTAAAATCATCCATTTATCTATCACACAAACCGTAAAAATAATTAACAGCTTATCGGTATTGTCCAGAACTTTAATATTGTGTGTCCTTAACATAACTGTCCACAACGTCATCATGTGGTTATGTTATGATAACCACAATCTTTTTTGCCTTGAAGTGACATTTTCAGATGAAGAACCAACAAACAATATCGCATATTAAACAGACTGAACTTCCATTTCTTACAGCCTCATTTTTACACATCAAATTAAATGTGGCATCCAAGAGAAGACTGGAAATAAATTGAGTATTCTGAGCAGACCAGGGAGATTCTAAGAAACACTTGAAGCCTCACAACGACCAGACCCTCTTAAACTTGAGATAATTGAATCGAATGCACCATCTATCTCCATAAGTGATCGTCCTGAATCCAGACCAGCTGCCCAGAGAGCATTTACTTATAGCAGACATTATGATTTAGTATTGATATAAAGCTATTGGATGATGTCATAAACCGCATACCACACTCAGATAAGCGGCCCAATTTACGATCACATCGCTATTCTCATACAAGCCTACACATTTAATATGGATGGACGAGGAGTGGCCATTACAAATGTACAGCACCAGGCAAAGAGAATTATAGACGTGTTTATTATGCCACATTGACGAATGCGCTCTAACATCTAAACGCTGGTGCTTTTTAGTTTATTCCTCCACGTTTAGTTTATCGTCTCATTATAGCGAATGAGTCTTCAGGCCCTTGGATGTACGAAGCAGTTTGTCTCCTCGCTAAAACCCATCCAGCTTTCATCTCTGGAATTATCGCCGCCTGGCAGATGAGAGGTATTTGTCCTTGGGCTTGCGGATCGTAGACATCTTGATGCTTATATGTTTACATAGTAATTCTGGCTTCCCCTTCGACTCTACTTTACGCTAAGCTGTCGTAAGTCAGAGTGACACAGTCGCTCCTCAAAGAGGAAAATCTGGAATTATTTGCCTCTGACAACGTGCTAATACTGTTGAACTGGATGACAGCAATGTGAAAACACAGCCGGACCCTGATGCGGAAAGGATATGTGAAGCACATGGGCTCATGGACAAACGAATGCTCTCTGACACTGTGGAGCGAAGCATTTCTACTGTACGGCTTAATATAGTTAAAATGACAGCTGGGGCTGATAGAAGAGCTGATGATTGAAGAGGAGATGGTCAATCAGAGCACAGAGAGCTGTCAGATAGGAGAGATCATTCTCTTTTGTCACCTACAGGCCAGACTTCCCAGGCTGAAGTGATGTGCCATCATAGGGCCTGTCTGCTGCAGTCTATGAAGAAGCCAGAGGCAAAGAGCATCACAGACTGGCCTCCCTCTGACATGTCACAGACCATTGTGATGAGAAGTGAAGCAGCACTGGTTCAAAATACACTTGTAAGCGCAAACCATACAAAAATGTACATTGTCAGAAAATTTAAGGGCCAAAATTGCCCTTTTTAAGGAGCATTTCTTTCATTATGAGCACGATTTTTTTCTCTAACACACATAAAATGCACATCATCCATTTATTTTAAATACATTTCGAAAAGAATAAATGATGTAATCTCAATCTAAACAGCTACCTATAGGTGCTGGAAGGTAGAAGATAATATTGAAATTGGCTTATACAAAAAGCAATAGGCCTAATTATTTTCATGTTATGGACGATAACCAATATTATTTTGTATTGTAAACAATATACTACTATTTTGTCTAAATGGATAAGGAAATAATTTATGCATCACACAATTTTAAGTTACAGATTGAAAAATGTATGATTGTTGTATATTTGTTTATGTAACAGTATTATTAAATTATTAAAGATTAACTTTAAAGGGATAGCTCACCCAAAAATGGAAATTCTGTCATCATATACTCAACCTTAAGCTGTTTTTTTTTAAATTAAGCAAACAAAGCAATACAGACAGATAAACAAGGAAAAAACAGGTAAATACCTAGAGAATGCAAACCTTGAGCTATTACAAACTTGTAGGAGTTAAATTTTTCTGCTAAACACAAAAGAAGATATTTTGAAGAATGTTGGTAGCCAAACAGTTGCTGGTACCCATTGACTTCCATAGTAGGGAAGAAAATACTATGGAAATCAATGGCTACCAGCAACTGTATACTTACCAAAATTCTTCTAAATATTTCTGCTAAACACAAAAGAAGATATTTTGAAGAATGTTGGTAGCCAAACAGTTGCTGGTACCCATTGACTTCCATAGTAGGGAAGAAAATACTGGCAACTGTATACTTACCAAAATTCTTCAAAATATCTTGTTTTTTACATTAAAAAAAATAAATGAACTCATACAGGTTTGGAACAACACAAGGGTGAGTAAACACGACAATTTTCATTTTAGCCTTTTAAATTAGCGTTACATGATGGAAATGGTCATATAAATATACAAAATTTAAGAAACAGGCATGGGCAATTAAATAGTCAATAGCGACCAATATATTTTTAATATCAACAGTTACAATAAAAAAGTAGTTTTTTATTGTACTTTATTATTTCTGATGAACATGAATGCAAACATTAATTCGATTCGATTTATAATTTTTTTTTTTTAAAGTTACACTCTGGCATGTGAGTTCAATGGGTCTGTAATTCTCAGTCCCATTTGTGCACACGTCAATTTCGTGTGTGCTGACTGGTTGATGGTTATGAATGTCAGTGTGTTTTGACGGTCGATGGTAAATCCTCTTGACAAGCCAGGGTTGAGCAAAAGTCGACCTGATGGTCGGTTGCTTGGAGCAAGGCATCACTGCATGCAATCCTTCTAATATCATTGATTTCCCTGTCCTTACTTTCTCCACCATACCTCGTTTCACACACTCACTGACTGCTGCTATTTATGAGTGATCACCGCGCTAATTACAGTTCTCATGTAAACACAATGCATCCACATCATTAGACGTCATTAAAGGAGCATTTGTTACGATTGCACTCTGGCTGTTAATAAAACAATTTCAGAACGTTAGCCAGGCCTTTTCCGGCCTCACTCGAAAATTTTCCAATTATAAAGGATTCATTAAAAACAGGAGTTTACTGGGGACTGACTTCACCCGTGACGGGTTCGGATCAACGGTAGTTTGAGAAAGCAGAACGGGTCATTTAAATTTAAAGAGCCGGCCTTCAGCAAACTCCAAATCAAGGAGGTGAACATAGTTGCAATAAGGTTGCCGAAGTTTGATGTGGTGCAGAAACATTTTCTCGCAATTACAGGTCATCGTGTGCTGCCAAGCAAAAACACAAACATCTCTGGCCAGATGTATGTATGTAAACACACCAAATAAACACCAATTTTCATTTGATTGCCCTCTGCTCTTGCATTTTTCTAGTGTGTTACGAAGAAGAAAAAAAAGTTACGGTTTGTTACGGTTCACTGAGTTGAACATACATGCCAAAGTGTTTTCCAAATTTCATCCTGATGGAAAGCAAACACCACATATGTACTTTTAAACAAATTATCCACCAGCACACACATGCACTATCCATCCACACATCACTGGGCTCCTCCAAACACAGCAAGAGTTTAGGAAATCAGATACACGAGTATAAAAACACAGCTGGTTTTATAAATGGTGGATAAAGGCTGTTTACCTTCTGGAAGAGCGCGGGAACCTGCTGCAGCTTCAACCTGTTGAAGACAAACACGTCGTACATGCCAGCCACGGCCAGCACCGTCACGCCTTGTTCCTTCCACAGCATGCTACAGGAAGCACACGCCAAGGTGCCCAAGAACCACGTCCAGCTCCATCCATGGGCACCGCTCGTCCTCAGGGAGCAGTGGTGTATGTAGCAGCGCAAGGCCAGGAGGAAGAAGAGGGCGGCTCCCACGTCGGCCCGGCCCACGATGCCCGACACAGCCTCGGTGTGGATGGGGTGAGCGGCAAAGAGAAGCCCAGCCAGCAGGCTCCAGCAACCCGACCCCAGCAGCAGGCTTGAGAGGCTAGAGAACAGGGCGGTCGTGGTGCAGTGTAGAACCACATTGACCAGGTGGTAACCCCAGGGATCTATGCCACCTAGGGCGTAGTTGAGTCGAAAAGAGAGCGTGCAGAGCGGGCGGTAGGACTTGTGGCTACCACTGTGGGTGAGAAGTGTCCCCCAGAAGTCATCGTAGAAGATGTTGATCCAAGGCGTTTCAAGGAGAAGGTCCTGGTTGGTCTTGATAGCACGGCTGTGTGGAGAAAAAGAAAGATTAAGATTAAAATTTATAAAAGTCAATTAATTTACTATAGTGTGCACAAGTATATTGTAGGGCTCTACAATTTCCGCGATGAGGAATCGTGGAATCCAGTCATAAAAATGGAATTTACTGTATAATGTGGAATGTCACTGAATTTGACAAATTTTGGATGAATAAATCAAAAGTAGGTCAGTACATTTAAATCAAAGCGCAATATGGGCTAGTGTCTGTGAATATTAAGCAACAAAAATACTATTTTAATATGAATCGTGAACGCTCTGCGTGAATGAATGGCACAGACGCAGAGTTTAGTTTTTTTCTACACTCTGTTAAAGCACACGTGATGCTCGCTATGTTTTCAGCCTCTGCTCAACATATGAGTGCATGAACACATGAACATAATCTCTAGAACTGCTTGTCATATCATATACAAACAGAAACTTAAAGGTCTTCACATCAACCCATCAAAATAAAAGTTTGGTTTAACTTGAAGAAACTGTGACAGAAATATATTACTTAATGTAATGATATTACTACTAAAACTAAAAAAATCATCAAAACATAATTTTTAAAGGAACATTCACCTGAAAAAAAATATTTACCAGAAAAATGTAAATGCATAACATTTTTTCTGAAAAAATAAAAAATAATAATTTTTAATTTTATGAAAACATTCAAATGGAATCCAGAAAATGATCATGTAATACATTGTGTAAGTTTCATGATTTCAATTAATTAGATATTGTTTTTAATTTAACCATTAAAAGAGAGTCTAGAAAAATTTAAACTGAATGTTTGAAAAAATGAATTTGGAAAAAAATATAACTGAATTCGGGAAAAAATAAAATTTTATAAGGCCCTAATATCGCTTTTAAGAGTGATGGTTGGGTTAGTCCTTACACCACATCACTGGTTGTGTTAGTGTATGAGCTTGCTGAATTTTCAACACAGCAGTCTTAACAAAAGATCACAAGAGGGCATGACTAAAACACATCACAGACATGAGACCATATGTGAAAGTATAACTGCATGTAAACTGAACATTGACAAAATCTTTCAGCTTTGTCGAAGTCATTCAGTAAGGCAAGCATCACTACTATTGTTTTTTCAAACCCACTAAAACTAAGTATTAAACTTTGGCATGTAACTCAACCTGGACCATTTGTGTTGCAGACATAAATGAATGACAGGACTCAATAACATATTTAAAAAAGATCTTCAAAAATACTTGTTTAACTCTAAACATACTCTTCCATTTAATTAAACTCTTCCATGATATTCTCTTCAGGAATAACAGTCAGTTAAAACAATAAATGTAACATTCCTCACACAAAGATGACCTTGTAATTAATCCTGTGAGGTTTGACTGGGACACAATAAGACAGATCCTCAGACGAAAGATGTGGGAACATTGATTCTGACTTTCCTCAAAGTTTAGAAAGTGAGGACATGTGCCGCACCCTTGACCAAAAACAAATAAAAGCTCAACAGAAAGACAGGGACCTCTATTAAGCCATAAGCAAGCACGAAGTGGTACCAAATGCCTGTCAATCAAACCAACCCAACTGTACCAGAAACCATCTATTGGCCATCTAAGAAACTGAGAGACAAAAAGCTAAGGGGAATGAAAAATGCATGAAGATGACCAATGTAGAAGAGAATGAGTGAGTGGAAGGATAAATGTGCAGTTTACTCCCTGGGAGAAAGCTTTGGGACTCTAAATATGTCTGAAGAAGGTCTTATAAAAGCGTAGAGTTGTACAGGGAACAGGAGGAGGCAGGGCGGGATATGCTCTGAGGGCCACAGACACCACTGTGCCCACGCTGTCTGCCTGCATTGCGCTGCCCAACAAGACAGAGAAAGCCCTCAAGGCAATCAAACAACACAAACGCGTGTAAACAAAGCAACTAGGCAGTTACGTTATTCCATATGCAGTCATCCGTGCCAAAATCCATGTCATTCAAACCCAAGGCAGTGGTATCTTGCTGTGAAACAAACCCCCTCTACCTCCTGTGATCGTGAATGTATGCCTGAGCTGCTGAAGATGCTGCTGAACCATCGAGCGTAATTAGTCTCCTTAGAGAGTGCAAGAAACGACATAAGCTGTAATTAAAATATGCAACGGGAAATACGTGACAAGTGCGATAACGCGCCATCAGCGCAACTGAATAATCAGCCGTCACAGCAATGGCGCCAAGAACGTGCAATTAACACAGAATGGAGACAAAAGGTTTAATGGAAACATGTTTACAAGAGAAAGATATGATGCAAAAAGAGCAATGGATCCCTGACTGTAGAGCGAGCCAAAGTCTTTGATCATTTGCTACGTGTCGCCAGCAGCGTACGCCTGTCTACCAGTCGCCCATGAGAACAGATGGAACTGGGAAAAGCGAGGAGATGTTACGACAGACTAAACTGCCAAAACGAACTAGTTCAGGACATGCTTCAACTTCTTGGTTGTCTAGGGGAAAATTTTCAACAAGACGTGTTGAAATTGCAGCGATTGCCTTGTAAGAGTCCACAAGAAAAACAGATGCTCTGAGAACTACATTTCTCCGTGAGATAAAGCTCTCCATCGTCGGACACATTTCAATTCCCTGCCTTGACTTCGAATCACTCACTTTCTTGGCAGAATTTCATGATTTCTTCCCCCTCAGGTATACCTTTTTTATTTTCTTCAAGCCATTCGTCAAATTAGATCTTCATCCTTCCAAACAAAAGGATAACACGAGAGCCATTGTGGTTCAATTACATCTGAATCATTTGGAAGGAGGTGCCAATTTACTGGATATTTTGGTGAGCCAGAGAAAACAAACACCATCGCCTGAAGACTCGACACCCAGAAGCCCAGACATGACAACAAAATCTGTGCCAGGCCCAGCAGGCAGGGGCTTCTGAGATCGGCTTTCACGTGAAGTGTAAATCAAAAACGAACACTTGGAGCTCTGGTGGTGAATCGTAACTGAATATCAGTAACAGTGGAAGCTCTCGGATTGCTTGACGAGTGCGTGAATTCTTGAGCTACTGCCTGATTTGGCTTGACAGCCCCCCGAGGAAGTCTGACTCCCTAGAATGATTCTAATTGGTGTTAGTGAGACAAATAATTTGAAAGCTAATCTCTGGCATGGGCTGATCCTTCTCTCCTGTAAAGAAAGTAGAGAGGGACAGAACCTTTTTACACGCAAGAGTGCGTTCTCAGGGGACCGGCAGTATCACGCAATCCCGAAACTGGCCACTTTTCTTCATCTAGAGTCCAATCAGCGTGCCGGGGATACTGTGACCACATCTGTCAAAGAATGTTTGCTTATCGCTCTATCCCTGCCGTGACTGGCACGTTGTTACGTTTTGGCCGACCGCAGCTTTAATGAGAAGTGAAATCCAAAATAAATCCTGTGTAATCTAGAGCCCAGTTCCCTCAGACTGGGAGCAAGATTTAGCTCTGTGGCCATGAGAGGAGCTTAAATGCTGTGGTGTCGATAGCAGGCTGCGACCTCAATGTTTTCGGAGTCTGACTCCCTAGAATGATTCTAATTGGTGTTAGTGAGACAAATAATTTGAAAGCTAATCTCTGGCATGGGCTGATCCTTCTCTCCTGTAAAGAAAGTAGAGAGGGACAGAACCTTTTTACACGCAAGAGTGCGTTCTCAGGGGACCGGCAGTATCACGCAATCCCGAAACTGGCCACTTTTCTTCATCTAGAGTCCAATCAGCGTGCCGGGGATACTGTGACCACATCTGTCAAAGAATGTTTGCTTATCGCTCTATCCCTGCCGTGACTGGCACGTTGTTACGTTTTGGCCGACCGCAGCTTTAATGAGAAGTGAAATCCAAAATAAGTCCTGTGTAATCTAGAGCCCAGTTCCCTCAGACTGGGAGCAAGATTTAGCTCTGTGGCCATGAGAGGAGCTTAAATGCTGTGGTGTCGATAGCAGGCTGCGACCTCAATGTTTTCGGACAAGTACAGCTTTGCTACATCCAAAACAAAGGCTTATAATTCGAGCCAAAAGCAAAACAAACCATGCAAAGAATCTGGTCTCTGGAATCAAAAAGCAACAAGTGACCTACTACGGAGTGACCGTATTCCATGGATTGCCTTTCTGTCTTTACGAATCGAACGGATACTTAGTCTCGACGCATGATTAGCTTAGCGCACAGAGGAAATTCTTTCTGCCAAAGTGCATGAACGTCAGCAGCCGTTCGTCATAATTCATATAATGCAAGTACATCCAGGGTCTATACATTTTAACGAAACAAACATAGCTCCCTTGAACAGCGCCAAAAATGGTTCCAGATATTCTTCTGAAAAGTTTGAGACAACGCACAATTGTTTTCTATTTGTCCCAACAAGTGAAAAGAGCTGCGACCTCAATGTTTTCGGACAAGTACAGCTTTGCTACATCCAAAACAAAGGCTTATAATTCGAGTCAAAAGCAAAACAAACCATGCAAAGAATCTGGTCTCTGGAATCAAAAAGCAACAAGTGACCTACTACGGAGTGACCGTATTCCATGGATTGCCTTTCTGTCTTTACGAATCGGACGGATACTTAGTCTCGACGCATGATTAGCTTAGCGCACAGAGGAAATTCTTTCTGCCAAAGTGCATGAACGTCAGCAGCCGTTCATATAATGCAAGTACATCCAGGGTCTATACATTTTAACGAAACAAACATAGCTCCCTTGAACAGCGCCAAAAATGGTTCCAGATATTCTTCTGAAAAGTTTGAGACAACGCACAATTGTTTTCTATTTGTCCCAACAAGTGAAAAGAGGGGGGCTAAAGAGCACAGGCAGTAGGGAGATTTTTCGGTCTGCCAAGTATGTGTCATCACCCGGCTTCAGTGTCTGAAAGGGCCGCAGTCATATTTTGAGAGTGCCTACAGAGAGGCCATCCGGTCTGTCCACTCTGCTCTCCTGCCTGGGCTTTTGTCTATGGTTTCTTCCCATGAGAATGACTGCAGGTCAATAACAGAATACCTTCCCCTTATGTGG